GGAAGGGAAGGGAAGGGAAGGGAAGGGAAGGGAAGGGAAGGGAAGGAAAAAGGTAAACAACACAATAGTGAAATGGGCAGAGGATATGAACAGACACTTCACCAAAAAAGACATTTAGATGGCGAACACCACGAAGAAATGTTCAAAATCCCTAGCTCTCAGAGAGATGCAAATCGAAACAACTATGAGATATCATCTCACCCCGGCAACAATATCAAAGTTCAACAGGACAACAAGCCAAAATGCTGGTGAGGTTGTGGAGAAACTGGGACCCTTATCAACTGTTGGTGAGAGTGTAATATGGTGCAACCACTATGGAAGGCAGTATGGCACTTGCTCAAAAAAGTTGGAAAAAGAAATATCATTTGACCCAGCAATTCCACTACTGGGGAATATAATATATCCTTATGAAACCAGAACAGCCACCCAACCAGATATATGCATACCCATGTTAACTGAAGCTTTGTTCACAAGAGCAAAGAAATGGAAACAACCCAAGTGTCCATCAACAAACAAGTGGATAGAGAAGCTCTGGTATATTCACACAATGGAATACTGTACGGCATTGAAAAACAAGGAACTCATGAAATATTATACAAAATGGGTGACCCTGGAGGACATTATGCTGAGTGAACTATCTCAGTCACAAAAGGATAAATACTGCATAGTTGTAAAACAGGACTGACATCGGGGTTGGGGAAACCAAGAAAAGAGGGGATAAATAATGCACACTGCATTGAAACAGACGAAGGAGAGAACTGCATAAAAGGAATAAATGATTAGATATTATTTGCATGACAGCAGTCCAGAATAAGAGCTGCATAGTGAAGTGGACTTGGGGTGGTAGGGCGGGATGGGGGGGTGGCGGGCTATTGTATAACTATGAAAGAATTTTATTTTTTTTCCAAAGAGAAAAGCGAACTGGTGGGGAGGGATGGGGAAATGAGGGAGGAACAGGGAGGAAAATGAGCAACCATGAATGAATGGAAATCCATGTGCTCTCTAAACTTTCATTAAAATCTAAATTTAAAAAAAAATTTAAGGGAGCTCTGGTGGCCTAGTTGCAAGAAGCTGCACTGAGATCCCAGAGGTGTGCAGTTTGAATCCACCAGATGCTCTGCTGGAGAAGGAGGGGCAATCTCCTCCTGTACCAGTAAGATCCGATGTGATGGTACACACACAAAATAGTAAAATAAAATAATTTTTTTTTAAAAAAAGGTTTCTTTTTTTGGTAGCTCTGGTGGCCTAGTGGCAAGACGCTGCACTGCAATCCCAGAGGTACGCGGTTCAAATCCACCAGATGCTCTGCAGGAGAAGGAGGGGGACAATCTCCTCCTGGACCAGTCAGATCTGATTTGACGGTACACGTAAAAATAATACAATAAAAATTTTTTAAAAAAACAGGTTTCTTTTTTTAAAAAAATGGGCTCAAACACAACAACAATTGGAAGCACAGTGCAGGATTGAACGGTGGTTCATTCTGTTGTTGAAGGTGGTGTAGGCTTCAAACAACAGCTTTACCTTCAGGCAGCTGGGATAGTTAGAGGTTCCAGTGATGCCCACAGAGCCCTCAGATGTCCAGCTCAAGGGTCACAGAAGCAAAAGATGTGAGGGCGTCCCTCTGACAGTGCTGATTTCCCATCTGAAAGCGAATGCTTCACCAGAGATGCTCAGTGCCCTTTCCTGCTCCCCAGTGTCCACAAATATAACCGCAGAGTCCGTGTCCAGAATTTAGCGTGACCACCTAAGGAAGGCTCATCTCTGGGTGTCTATCTTTCCTGCTGGGCCAAGTTCCCATCAACAACACCCCCAGGATCAGCTGAAATACTCTTGGGAAGCCCCTGTCCTCTGACATTCTCTGCAGTGTGATCCCAGACAGCAGGCCCTGGGGAGGGAGTGGGACGTGAGGGACTTAATAGGTTCAGATCTGTCGTTCACAGGGTCGTTATGGGTGCCAGTGGACTCAAGGGACACACAACAACAGAAACAGCAGTAGGGAACTAGGTTGTGGCATCCCGGAATCATAAAATCCCAGGTGACCCTACACTCCAGCCTTGACCGAATCCCAGTCCAGCCTCCCATTAAACTGAAGGTCAGCAGGGATATCTGTGCACAGCTTTCCGGGATAATCACAGCACATGGGCAATGGGTGAAGAGGCGACCAGAGACGGAGCCACAGCTCGGTCCAGCCTGCACGCCGCTCAACAAGCCGCGATCTCAGCTGTCCACTCGGAGAAAGGGGTGTATTTTTCTAAAGCCCTAAAGTTAAGGGTCATCAGTTAGGAGCTGAACTACAAATACGACTATTAATAGTAAAGAAAAATATCACTGTGTTACTGGGTTTGTTATAATGATAGAGTAGTGTGATCAGATGTCACTGTGTCAACTATGACATATGTGAGTACAATGATTGTTGCTATGTGCTGTCAAGTCGTTTGTGACTCATAACCTGTATACAACAGCCATAAACCCTGCTCTATCCTGTGTCAATCTTATTATCTCAGACACACCTACCCCATTCCCCAGTCACTGAGTCAATCAATCCCTCTTATCCGGAGTCTTCCTCTTCTGAGCTGTCCCTCTACCTTTCCAAGCATGACGTCCTTCTCCAAGGACTGGTCCTTCCTGGCCACATGCCCAAAGTATGTCAGATGGACCTTCAAAATCCTTGCCTCCAAGAAATAGCCCAGTTTCTCCTGCTCCCGGACAGATCTGTTTGTTTTCTTGGCCGTCCATGGTGTGTTCAAGACTCTTCTCCAGCACCACAGTTCAAAGGCATCATTTTTCTTCTGTCATCCTTAGTCATTGTCCAGGTTTCGGATGCACAGCACATAATTGTGAAGTCCATGGCCTGGATCAGGTGTACCTTAGTCTCTAGACTGATATCATTGCTCCTCAGTACTCTGGGGAGGACCCTGACAGCAGACTTTGCCAAGGCAATTTCTCTTTTGACTTCCTGGCTACTGATACCAAGAGTGTTGATTGTGGAGCCAAGCAAGCTGAAGCTGTTAATAATCTCAAAATCATCCTCTATCATGATGCTGCCAATCAGCCCAGTGGGGAGAATCTTTGTCTTCTTGATGTTGAGCTTCAATCCATATTGAAGGCTGCAGTCCTTGACCTTCTGCAGCAAATTCTTCAGATCCTCTTTGGTTTCAGCAAACAAGGTTATGCCATCTGCATAATGCAGGTTTTCAAAGAGAAAAGTGATGGGGGAGGGGTGGGCAGGGAGGAAAGTGCGACAGTGCAAGAATGGAAATGTAAAGTCTCTGTAAACTTTCATTATAATAATACTAAAAGAATTAAAAAAAAAAAATGTTGCCAT